TGATTTCAGAGAGAGGAAGGGAGAGGGAGAGAGAGAGATAGAAACATCAGTGATGAGATCAATAATGTCATTGATCGGCTGCCTCCTGCACGCCCCTGACTGGGGACCGAGCCCGCAACCCGGGCGTGTGCCCTGACCGGGAATCGAACCGCGATCTCCTGGATCCTGGGTCGGTGCTCAGCAGCTGAGCCACGCCCACTGGGCCTCCTGAGCATTTTTAAATAGAAATAAATTTTGGCTTTAAAAACTTAAAAAGAAAAAGATTTTTAAAAACATGGAGGATGGACTAATTATTAATCATGTTTTATAAGTAAATATGGCTAGTTGACTTCCTGCCACATTAGCTACTCCCAATTCATTCCCAATATTCCTCTCACTCTCCCCCATATCCAGATTTTTGTCGGTTATATTACTATTTTTAGCTTACTAATAGTTACAGCATTTACATTTATAGTGTATTCTATCTGCAACTTTCATTTCCTTAATTATTTAGATCGATATGTAAATATTTTCAGTGATAACCAACAATTTCTTCCTTTTTTTCCTTTCTTTCCATCACCATTTATCTTCCCTATACCTTCTTCCACCTCCACCCACCCCCTCTCCCCCGATATCACTACAGTTGTTTGTGTCCATAAATTCTCTCTCTCTCTTTTTTGCTTAAATCAACAATTTTTTAATTTTGACTCATCTAGGATAGCTAGATTTTCATCTTCAAATAGCTATTTAAAGAAAGGCTCATGCCCTTTCTACCTAGAGGAGTCCATTCTATTTTGTCTGTAGTTCCTACAGTAATATAATGAGAAACTTAAAAAATAATTTTAAAAGTTTTATTTATGGTAAAAACATTTATATATATAACTTACCATCTTAAAAAGGGAAACTTTCACAATGTCCAGCGCCTTTGCCTGGCTCCCAAATGAAGGATACATCTACAAAATGAAATGTGATATTATCCACGTGACAAATTTGAAGAGGTTCAGGGAGAAATTTCTACTGGCAACACGGATTGCCAGTAGAAACTGGGCTACTGTTGACATCAGATCCTCCAGGACCACCGGCCAACGGGCCCTATGAATGTTCCGCAGCCACCTGCAGCCGGCCACAGCCATTGCCGAGCATTTCACTTCTGGCGTCTTCCACTAATGAGATCCACACAGCTTTTTGGGAGCCTTGTTTTTTGTGATGGTGATCTCAGGGCTGACCGTCAAGCTCTCACAGTGGCATTTTTCATTCACTTGCCCACCACAGTTCACTTTTTTTTAATCCTCATCTGAGGATATTTTTTCCATTGCTTTTCAGAGAGAGTGGAAGGGAGAGGGAGAGAGAGAAAGGGAGAGAGGGAGAGAAACATTGATATGAGAGAGACACATCGATTGGTTGCCTTCTGCACATGCCCCATCCTGGGCCGGGGATCGAGCCTGCAACCAAGGTACATGCCCTTGGCTGAAATCGAACCCAGGACCCTTCAGTCCATGGGCCAATGCTCTAGTCACTGAGCCAAATGGGCTATGGCACCACAGTTCACTTTATGTGGATATTGCCATATCATGTGACAATAAAAGAGTTCCCTCGGTGTCTTGCAGTGGATGCTTGCCCAGAAAATCCTCTCGTGGTGGGACTAACTTCCCCTGGGACCCACAGGAAGCTGTGCCTGTCATTAGGGCTGCTCACAAATATTCCAGTTCTCCTTCCAGGCGTGTGGAGAGTTCTGTGTTCTGCTCCCTTTGAAGTTAGGTAAGTGCTTGATTAACTAATTACACATTAAATTGATGTTTAATTTATTGAGGACCCACCATACTGTCTTCCACAGTATCTGCAGCACTTTACATTCTCATCAATACCATGTGAGCAGAACTGTCATGTGTCACTTCTGGGAAGAAGCTAAAAAAGCAGTGAGCGTTCCACCAAGTCCTCCTTCCCCATTCATCCGTGATTGGATGGAGATCATAGCAGCTCATATCGAGCTTCTTCCCTCCACCCTACTCCCTGAGTGACTAGAAGGATCAGACCTCCTTCACTGACCAACACAGACCCTTGTTGCTACAAGCCACCCAAAACGTGGGTGTTATTTCTTACTGCAGGAGAACCTAGCCGACCCTGCTGACACAAAAGCTATAAACTTCTACAGAGATCCAGAAGAGATCGAGAAGGAAGAGCAGCCATAGTTAAAAAGGAACCACAGGGCAAGTGGGTTGCTCCAGCTCCTGAATTTAATGTGCTCATTCCAAGGCTACAGATAGATCTGAAAGCAGGCAGGCCCTCCATTCCTTTCAGCAGCTCCTCACCAGAGCCTGAATGGTCCCACCTGTTTCTGAAACTGGTCTGTGCTCCACAGCCCAGGCCCTCACATAGGAAACCACTAGCCAGAGGTCTTAAGCCGTCCTTCCAAAGGTTCTTAGACAAAATGCAAAATTAAGGTTGACAGAAAACGAACATTTTTGTACAAAAGCAAAGGGGCTCATGGATGCTGTATTCCCTGAGTTCACTTATGTCTGAGAAGGTCTGACTATGGTCTTTTTAAAAATTATTTTTTATTTTTCAATTACAGTTGACATACATTATATTAGTTTCAGGTGTATACTCCAGTGATCAGACATTATATAATTTACCGTGATCATCCCGATAACCCTCATACCCATCTGACACCGTACTTAGTTATTAGAATATTCACTATATTCCCTATGCCGTACTTTACATTCCCAAGACTATTCTGTAACAACCAATTTGTATTTCTGAATCCCTTCACCTTTCCACCCATCCCGCACCCGACTATCATCTTTATATTTTAATGTCAACATGGCTGGATTATAGTATTTTCTTTTCTTTTAAAAATATGTCTTTATTGATTTTGGAGGAGGAAGGGAGAGGGGGAGAGAGAGAGATAGGAACACCAATGATGAGAGAGTCGTTGATCGGCTGCCTCGTGCATGTGCCCAACTAGGGACCGAGCCCGCAGCCCAGGCATGTGCCCTGACCGGGAATTGAACCGCAATCTCCTGGATCCTAGGTCGATGCCCAACCACTGAGCCACACCCAGCTGGGCTATAGTATTTTCAACTCATGTTTTTAGTATATAAATAATATTTGCCTTTCATAAGAATCTTAAACTGTAGAGTAGGTTATCAAGTGAAAAGTAAAAGTTTTCCTTTATATGCAGTCTCACTCTGCCATTCCCCCTACTCGCCCAGCTGTGGACGCAGGCACAGCACCTGGCACTGTGGTACTCAATACAGTGTAAGAAACGGTCTTGACCCTTGGTGGGCTTATTCTGGTTGCCTCAGTCAATGGAATGGAGTCAACAATGCTTACGTCAGAACTGAAGCGATCTAGGTAGGGACTGTATTGAACTGGTGAGTACATCTTATCCAAAAGGGGCAGCCGCTGCTTAGCTCCAGCTGTTCTTGTTTGAGGAATGCAGACTCAGTGTTGCTAGATTTCAGGATTTCAAATGAAAGTGAAAATCCATTTTTGCATGAGAAATTTGTTGCTGCTATGCCAAACTAAACACACACATGGGCTGGGTGTGATCAGTTTGTGGATGACTCAGTAGTTATGAAGATGGGCTCTGGGTTTGAATCCTAACTCCACAACTCATCCGTTCTACACTCCAGTTCTCATTTATAAACTGGGATTCTACCTCATGGGATTCTTATGAGGATCAAATGAGATGCTGAAAGCACTTAATATGTGAGGTAGGCTCCTCATAAAACCTACAATCTAGTGGAAGAGTCAATAAGTGAATCTCATCTGGGAATTACAGGAAGGCTTTGTTGGGACAGTGGCATTTAAACAGAGACCTGAAGGATGAATAATTAATCGGGTGGAGAAGTGGAACAGGAGGAGGGGAAGGGCATAACAGGCAGAGGGAACAGTTCCCAAGCTTTCCTGAAGTAACCACGCAAGCCAAAGCTAAAACAGTGAGGACACAGAGGAGACAATCCTTTGGCAGCCAAGGATTTGCTGACTGATAAATGTGAGAGAGGAGCCTCTCAGTTCAGTCCCTGCAAATTTAGGATTTCCCACCATACTGGTCAGCAGTTTACTTCTTGTGACAGAAAAACCAGACCCATAGAGTCTTTCGCAGGGCCCTCTGACCCTCTCCTCTAAACACAGAGAGAGCTGGAAGCCTTGGGGTCAAAAGTGAGTAGTTCTCCAGGTAGAGAAGGAAGGCCAGGAAGGCAGGTAAGAAGGCCCAGAGGTGGGGAGCAGTTCCTTTTGCTCTGGCAGCTGAGGTGTTCAGGGGGATGCCTCCAGACTGGCTGGGGAGGAGGCTGGGCCGTACGCAGCGCCACCACCGCAGATTGAAGCAGGGCCTCAGTCAAGTGGAGAATGGGCGCCCCCTAGGAGCAGCGCTCGGTAGTGGACGCTGGAGGTCCAAGCTGAGGAAGGGCAAAGGGAGGGGAGAGCGCTGCTCAAGTGGGGATAGCCAGCCCGCCAGTTTTCTTCTCGCAGGATCTAACTTCTTCCGGCATAATGGATTCCTGGGATCCCAACAGATCTGAGCTAAAAAGGACCTCGAACAAAGAAGTACCAATACGTGCCCCATGTTAGGCCCTGAGCTGGGCACTTGCCTTAACACTCCTAACTCTGCTTCGAGGTAGGTATCATTGTCCCCATTTTTCAGATGTGAAGACCGAAGTGTGGTGACTTCCCAAGGAGGGGCGGGGATTTTGCATGACCTCAGAACCTTTTCCCGGGAGCCCCCAAGAGTTGAAAGATACTGATTCCCTAAGGTTTGGGGGAGCAAGCGTCAGGTGTGCGGTGTACACGCTTTCCAAGGGACAACAGTGTGATGGTGCTTTCGGCCAGAACCACGCCTCCCTTGTCGCGACAAAGCTGATTACTGTTGCCTTCCTTTAGGAGCCGCCCCCAAAATATTAAGTCCTCGCCACATGGGGAGGCGGACATTAGATATTCCTGGAGCGCCCAGACTTCTACTGATTCCCACTAGTGACATAAGTCCTCCCCCTCCACTAGCGAGTGAAGGCGTGGGACTACATTTCCCAGCAGACCATTGAGAAGGGGGCCGCGAGAGAGGACTCTAGGTTCCCGACCGCTCGCACTCTGGCGTGTCCACGGTAACGCACATTCCTACAGCCCACATCCTTTTTCTATAGAAGCTGAAAGGACTACGTCCCCCATCAGGCCTTGCCGCCGAGGGAGAGCGGTAGGCCGCCATCTTTGCTGTAGTCCTTACCCCCGTTTTCGCAGGAAGTAGCCTTCGGGCGTGGACTACAAATCCCAGGTCGTCGTCGCCCCTTCCCTTAGGCAGACATCTTTGCTGGTAGTCCCCGCCCCTTTTTATTTCCATTGTCTCGACCGAGGATAATAGAGAGGACGCGGGAAGACTGCAACTCCCGTCAGGCTCTGCGCCACCGGGAGGGGGATTTCGCTCTTACAGGCGGGCGAGGTACCCAAGGTGGTAGAATGAGGCGACTGGGAGAGGCTAGGTAGCCTGCCATCTTTGTGGTAGTCTCCTTACCCTCCCGGTTTCGTCATTCTTAAGGTACACTAACGAGCTAGAAAAACTACTATTCCCATCGCACCTCATAAGATCGACTACTAATCAGGTTGAACGCCCCTCTTCAGCCATCTTGTTTGTAGTCCTCGTTCCTTTTCACCTTTCCATTGTTCCTGACGAGTAGAAATGGCAGCGGGAAGGCAGCAGATGGACTGCGACTCCCGTCAGGTACCACACACGCGGAGGGTTGTGGACGAGAGGGCGTGTGAGTGCCTGGGAAGGAGGTCGGGTCGGGGGAGAAGGCCATCTTGTTTGTAGTCATCGTTCCCACTCCTTCTGTATGCTCTGCAACGGGGAGCCTCGGGGCAGTCGGACTATAACTCCCGGCATCCTCGGCTGTGGGTTTGGCACACCCTCCGCCATCTTCTTTGTAGTCCCCGCTAACCCCAGCTCCCCATGTGCCCACCGTAGCACCAGTGGCCGCAGGACTACGACTTCCGTCGTTCCCTGCGCGTGTTCGTTCTGGCAAGTGGAGTGGTGAGGAAAGGAGGAGGCAGGGGGCGGGGTTCCTCTGGGAGAAGGAGGGAGTAAGGAGGAGGAGGAGGAGGAAAGGAGGAGGGACGGGAGGAGGAAGAGAGGAGGAAGGAGGAAGGAGCTCAGGAGGGATGAGAGAGGCGGCCAGGGCCCCGGGCCGAAGCTGCGCGGGGCCGGGGGACCAGGGGGGCTGAGGCACCCTGATTGTCCCCTCCCCCTTTCCCTACCTCCTTCCATCCTTTCCTTCCACCCTTCTGCTTGAGGAAGGGGATTTATTCAAATTTTATTTAAATCCCTATCTCTG